CCACCATGAGCTGTAGCTCTCTGCCATGTGCCACTCTGCCTTGTCACCTGCCAAGTATGGACTAAAACCTCTACAAACTGTAAGCGAAATAAACCTTTCCTTCCTTAATTTTGGGCGTCAGGTATTTTGTCCCAGCAACGAGAGAAAAGTAACCAAGACAGACATCCTCTTTAGCAAATGGGGCTGGGAGAACTGGCTACATATGCAGAGGAGGGCAGCCAGAGCCACGTCTCTCAGTGTGTACTAAACTGAAATCAAAATAGTTTTAAAATCTAAATAGTAAAACAGAAACACTTAGCCTGCTACAAGAACACGTAGGCAAAACTATAGTCATGGGTGCAGGCAAAAATCTTCTGAACTGCCCAAGATATAACTTTCAGAACCAACAAACTGGAGTGTATGAAATCCAAAAGCTTTGGAAAGCAAAGGAAACAACCCACAGCCTGAAGAGGCAATATTAAAAAAGGAACATTTTTTACCAGCTACACCTGAGAGAAAGGACTAAGGTTTAGAATGCATAAAGAGCACAGAATTAGCTCCCAAATGAAAGACCCACTCAAAAATGGGCAACTGAAATGAACAGACAATTCTCAGTAGAAGCAGTAGAAAGACCAATAAATACTTGAGAAAATATTCAACAACCCTGGCCATCAGAAAAATGAAAATTAAGCAACACTGAGATTTCATCTTACTGCAAAAAGAATGGTACACATCAGGAAATCAAGTACTGACAAAAAATGCTGGACTGGGGATATACCTCAGCAGAACAGCACCTGCCTGGCAAGTGCAAGGTCCTGAGTTCAATTCCTGCTACCAAAAACAAAAAAACAAAACAAAACAAAACAAAAAATTCTGTCAAGAGTATAATAAAAGGGAACCTCCTACATTGTTGGGAGGAATGTAAACTACTAAATAGATAAACTAGTAAATAAATAAATATAAATATTCTTCAAAAAAACTAAAAACAGAAATTTCATTTATTCAGGTACTCCCATTCTAAGCATCTCCCCAAATTATTTAAAGATATATTACATGCATACCAGTAGTTACAGCAACACTTGTCCTAATAACTAAACCTTGGAAGGGCCTTATATGTCCATCACCAGATAAATGGATGAAGAAAAGGTGGAAGCCAGGAGTGATGGCACATGCCTTTAATTCCAGCACTTAGGAGGCTGAGGCAAGAGAATCACTACCAATTCGAGGGCAGCCTGGGCTACCTATTGAGTTCAAGGCCATTTTAAGCTATGTAGAACCCTGTCTCCAAACACAAACAAACAAACAAAAAACAAGAAAAATGGTAATTATGTGCAGTGAAATAATATTCTTCTATTAAGAAGGATGAATTTGAAACATTGGTAGGAAAATGGATGCACCTTGAAAACATAAGGCTAAATAAAATAAACCAGTCACACAAGCTGGAATCTCACATGGTTTCTCTCATATAAGGAAGCCAAAGTACAAATAACGAGCAAAAAGAAAGAAAGAAAATGTGGCATTTATATACTATGGAGTATTACTTTGGTATAACAAAGCAAATTTGGTTTATTTTTAGGAAAATGGGTGAACCTTGACATCAGAATTTTCAGAGAAATAAATCTATACAAAATTTAAACATTGCATGAAGCAAAGAAATAAAATTATCAAAAGTTTAAAATGAAATAAAGAAGAAACACAAAGTATAAATAAATTAAAGAGCAAAATAAAAGATAGACCATAACAAAGGTGATAGGTGTTTGGTAAAAGGGAAGAGACCAAGAGATGGAGAAAGGACGGGGGTGCGGAAAGGGATGAGACGTGACTCAGCTGTATTACGTGTGTGCTCCAGCGCCGCACACTGAATGCCATTACTATGCACTGGAATCACCTAGCAATAAAGAAGAAAACAAACACAGGTTAAGTCTACACAGGCAAGAAGTTGTTTTTGGTACATATGCTTTACTTCATGTCAGCGTAGATACCTTTCTCTTGTAATCACATCTAAGTCACTTCCATTTGTTATTGATAAGATTTGTATCTCAATATACGATGAATGTAAATTTTTAGATTTCCTACCTAGTGTTCTTGCTTAACATATGTATATAGTTACAACATATACAGAAGTTGTATAGATACATCTGTAATTATATACACTATTTTGTATGTCTATATGTACATACACTGATAACTGTAAATGTTTAGATAAATTTTTAATGCTGTTCAAGCAAACACTTTGTTTACTATTGGCTATTCTACACAGATTACACTTCTAAAAATAGAAACACAGGGCGCTTCCGCTTTCTGGAAAGACTTCCAACCAGGAGCATTTTTCTCTTCTCTTATTTCGTTTCTCCTTTAACCTCCTTTCTGTCTGCAACTTCATCCTTCAGCTCCTCAAGACAATGGGCTCAGTTTGCACAGTGACTGCTGTTTCCAATTGAAGTTCCCTCCAAGACAGGAAGGGGTGCACAGGCCTCAAAGATGCAGAGCTCTGGAAACTATCTTGTCAGCTAACAATCTCCAGACGGAAGTTGTTTATGATGCTGAACTTTTTCAGGTTTATGTTTGTGAGATTTTGTATTATTGTGCTATGGCTGTTATGCAAATCTAAGCACTATACAATCTAAGGAGAGTCCATCTAATGATGAGGAAATAATAACCAGTGACAGATGTCTGCAAACAAGTACATTCTCCATGAAAGTCTGTTTACTAAAAGGTAGGAAATCTCGATAAAAGTTTTTGTGACCTTTAATATTTAATAACTAGACAAAGCTAGCCAACTGGTAAAGTGAAGATTTCAACATATTTCAGAGATAAGAGCAAAACCCTGATGTTTCTAGTATAATAATGTCATCATAATTGTTCTACCAAAATGCTGTTTAAAATGCTATTAACATTTAATTTCAAATTTTCCCTATAAAGCTTTATAATGGTTATCTGCTAACATTGCACAGGACTTTGTCTTCTGAAAGATTGTTGTGCTGATAAAAGAAATCACAGTTCTCCGCCATACTTTTACTTCATAGTGCTCAGTACTCAGAATAGATTATAATGGCTGAACCTACCTCTTGCACTTCAGTACTAGTGCACCTCCTGGCCGTTCAACCACTGAGGCTGGGGGACCAAAGCTGAACAAACACAAGTGGGCCAAGGGAACGTCCAGTAATGTAGCCCTTGGTCTTTAAGGTCAGCCAGGACCCAGGCATAATCAGACAGGTCCAGTGAGTCACCCAACCTCCCAAGCAGGAGCCTGTTGGACTTTAGAGGACAGGAGCTAACCATGGTACCTTATGGTAAAAGGAGGGTCATAAGAGAGGGAAAGTAGCCCAGGCTTCCAAGAGAAGCCACATGGGCAGATCATGGCCATCCTGACAGATGACACTGGACAGTGAAATGCTATAGGAGAGTTAATGAGCTCTTCACATGGCTCCAAAGTAATCCTTAAGGAGCCTTTATTGACCTTGAGACAGATGAATAGATAGATAGATGATGGATAGATAGATGATAGATAGATAAATAGATACATAGATGGATAGATAGATAGATGATAGATAGATGGATGGATAGATAGATAGATAGAGCAAACAGTATTACTTAACACAAGTCTTAGTGTGACTTGGTTTTAAGCACCCAGCAGAAAAGTATAATACAGAAGCTATACAGAGTAAGAGTATTAGTAGACAAATTAGGCTGCAAACTACACCAGCCCAGCTGGCAGTCTCCAGTTACAACTGTCTATACCTGTCACTCCTCACCACAGTATCTGTGGCACTCTGTGCACAATTCACAGTTTAGTACGCAGTCTCCCTGGTCTCTCATACCTGGAGCATCAGTGCTCTGAGGCAGACATGATTCCTATGATCCTCTCTGAGCCAAGTGTCCTCCAAGGATCCAGGGCACAGGACGTTTCAAAAATACATGCCGGGGGAATTACGCTACTCTCCAGGCACTGTAATTAGGGGAGTGTTGCTCACCATGCTGTGGTGACTCCTGCAGCCCTTCTCCTCCTCAGGTACAACACAGGCCACTGGGCGGGCCAAGCGTCTGTAGCCCCAGCCAAGCCCTCAGCCCTGGAGGGAGCACATCAGGGAACAGCAGGAGCAGCCACTTTCCCTGGATGTGCGCACCCCCGCCTGTCACTGTCACCCAACACAGTGAGCATTGTGATGGCAAAGCACACACAGAAAGAAAAGGCCTACACGTGGGGCACGGTGTGCCACTGCCTATGTGCACAGGGCCGCACTCTCCTCAACGGCAGCCCAGGCCTGGGGCAGTGAAGCTCAGTGTAGCTGTCAGCCCACAGGACAGTGTGTGAACAGCTGGGGTGACTTCCTCTGGAGCAGGTGGTGGGAGTCATCCTTCACGTCCATAGAAAAGGAAAGGAAAACCATTAAAATGGGAAATGGGAACTGGAGCGCAGGAAGAAGCGCACATTTATTTCAGCTGCTGGGTCAGTCAATGTGCTGTTACTGTAGCAAATTATTCAAGACAGCAACGTAGAAACAGGAAACACTGATGCAGGGAGAGGTCCCTCCACCTCCTGTTCCTGCACCATGAGCCATCACTCGCTGGGTCTCCATGGAAGGTCTCCCTCTCAGAATGCAGCCGTGTGCACCTCTAGACCAGAAGGTATCTCTGGAGTCTGGGAAACTGTCCTAAGTAAACCCTCCTTTAAAGATGGCCCAAAGTGACACTCCAGGGAGGGTCTCAGAAAGTGAGTGTCTTCAAGTGGAGGTGTGGACAGGACCCGGGCAGGAGAATCTTTCTCTGGTCCTTGATGTTCTCATCTGTAGACTGCCTGGGTGGGGACGGCAGTGCCATGTCGCGGGACTGTGAGAGTTTGAGGTGATGAATGCAAACCCCACCCAGGACAGGGCAGGGTCAGCATTTAAGTGAATCAGTTCCTGATTCAGACATCACTTCTGCCCAAGGTCCAGGAAGGAACCTGAATATTCTGACGTGGGTCTTGCAGGCCTTGTTCATCGTGCTCGCACTCCTTGTGCTCTTGCAACTCCACCGTCATGGCCGATGCAGGAAGGCAAGTGAGGAGGGAGAGGACGGCCTGGGCTCGCCCCAGGGAGGGGTCAGCAGCTGTGCTTAGGGCCCCGCAAGCCAGAGGAGTCTGAGTCTGACACCAACCAGCAGGAGCCACTGCAGATGCAGCGAGGGCTCCATGCAGGTGTCACAGGGCGGCCTCCTTCTTGTCCCCAGGACCCAGCTCTGCTGCCACCTCCCCAGAGGACTCCCACAGACACAAAGACATAAATCATTCTCTCCTCCACCCACAGCCTGTCATCCCAATGCAGTATTTTCTCCAAAGTTCTTCACCACATGGTTTCCTTGCTGAAATGTGTGTCCACTGCCTTCAAGTCCCTTAGCTCCCTGTGCGCTGTCCGGTGCAGTGGGCGTCTCTGATCCCTGCCCCTGACCTTCGTGGAGGTTTCTCCAGTCGGGGCTCAGCGCATCTCTGCTCTCTTCCACCTGCAGCAGGAACCTGCATCTTCCCCGGAGCATCTCCAGGGCGGTGGGGACTGCCACAGTGAGGACGACCTTGCTGTGCCGATGGACATGCTGAGGGAGGGAGGAGACCGATTGGAGGCTGTGAGAAACACCAGCCCGGGGTAACTGTGCACTGGAGGGGAACAGCTTGGGAGGGCTCCAGGTCTATTGGCTACTGTGCCCTGGAATCGATGAGGTGAGGACAAATCAGGAACACTCAGAAGGGGCTCTCCAGCCTGGAGCCCAGCCAGGTTCAGCAATAGGAGAAAACAGCCCGGGTGCCTGCGGATGTCAGTTCCGCTTCCTGTGGGGCTCCTCGTGTGACCTCCGTGTGAAGGGCAGAAACCAATCCCTAGCTGTGAAACTGTGTCAGGCACTGTGGTCTCATCCATCCACACAGTCTCACCTGGAGGTAGGAGACGCCATGACCACCACACTCATGGCCTGCTCTGCATTGGTAAGAATTGAACCTGGGAATGGGAACTGCTAGACTGGAACCCCATAGCCAGGGCCTGGGCCATCAGGAAACCAAGGTGTCAGGAGGATCTGGGAAGCAGAGGACCAGCTCAGGCCCCAGGGCAAACCTCTCAGAGGGAAATCTCTTCCAGGGCTGAATATGGGCCCCAGGACCCAAGTGCAGGCAGGTGAGTGTGTCCCCAGCTATAATGGGTCCCTCCTACACCTGGGGACAAGGGGCCACCCCTGGGCAGTGGGGATGGAGCACAGCAGGTGTGGGCTGGTGCTGGGGAGGTCTGAAATGTCCTGGGGCTGAGGGCTGGGATGTGAGGGGAGGAAGCTCGTGGGACCCAGTTGTGATTTCCCTGCAGGGACCCTCCCCAAACCGAAGCTCTCCGCTGAGCCAGGATCTGTGATACCGCGGGGGGAACATGTGACCCTCTGGTGTGAGGGGCCTCTGGGGGCCCAGGAGTACGGTCTGTACAAAGGGGGAAGCCAAGCGCCCTGGACAAGACAAACATCACTGGAACTCAAGAGCAGGGTCGTGTTCTCCATCCCATCCATGACAGAGCAGCATGCAGGGCGGCATCGCTGTTTCTACCGAACCCCTTCTGGGGAGTCAAAGCCCAGTGATCCCCTGGAGCTGGTGGTGACAGGTGAGAGGACACTCGTAGTCCCAGCCCCAGGCTCTGCCCTCAGGAAGAGGTCTGCTCTCAAGGGTGTCCACTTCTCACAGCCCAGCCCTGGGGACAGTATGGGAGGTGCGAGTCCATTTCCCATGCTGCCTCCTTCTCTCCTAGGAGTCTACAGCAAACCCAGCCTCTCAGCCCTGCCCGGCCCTGAGGTGACCTCAGGAGGGAGCGTCACCCTCCAGTGTGGCTCACAGCTGGGATTTGACAGGTTCGTTCTGACTGAGGAAGGAGGAGACAAGCCCTTCTGGACCCTGGATGCACAGCGAGGCCCCAGTGGGCAGGTCCAGGCCTTGTTCCTTGTGGGTCCTGTGACCCCCAACCACAGGTGGGAATTCAGATGCTACGGCTGTTACTGGAACCAACCCCAGGTGTGGTCGGAGCCCAGTGACCCCCTGGAGCTCCTGTTTTCAAGTGAGTAAGCCCCATCTTCTTCCTTTACTGATTGAGAACTTGACCCTGAGACCTTGGAAGCACCTAGTCGTGAGATTGGGAGGGGTTGGGGATGTTGAATTCAGTGAGAGGGTGTCGGGGACAATGAGACCAGAGATGTGGGAACCAGGGTAAAACAGGGAAAGTACAAATCAGAAGGCCCAGAAGAGAATTTGTCCACAGGAAGCTCCTTGGGTGTCTTCTGCTTATGACGGATCAACCTAAAAGTCATCTCCATGTGGGAGTCTCTGCATATTCTGAACACACCACCCCCTTTTCATCTGCTTCCTTTCAGGGATCCACCCAAAACCCAAGCTCCAGGCTCAGCCAGGCTCTGTGATACCACGGAGGACTCCTGTGACCCCGTGGTGTGAGGGGACCCTGGAGGCCCAGCGATACCATCTGTACAGAGAGGGCAGCCCGGCATTCTCAGTCACACAGACCTCACCCGAGCCCCGGAACAAGGCCGAGTTCTCCATCCCATCCATGACAGAAGGTGATGCAGGGCGCTATCGCTGTTACTATCGCAGCCCTGCTGGCTGGTCTCAGCACAGTGAGCCCCTGGAGGTGGTGGTGATAGGTGAGGGGACACGCTGAGTCCCAGCCCCAGGCTCTGTTCCCTGGAAGGGGTCTGCTCTCAGGGGCGTCCCCCTCTCATAGCCCAGCCCTGGGAAAATGTGGGAGGTGTGAGTCCATTTCACACGCTGCCTCCTTCTCTCCTAGGAGTCTCCAGCAAACCCAGCCTCTCAGCCCTGCCCAGCCCTGTTGTGACCTCAGGAGGGAACGTCACCCTCCAGTGTGGCTCAAGGCTGGGATATGACAGGTTCGTTCTGACTGAGGAAGGAGGAGACAAGCTCTCCTGGACACTGGACTCACAGCAAGACTCCAATGGGCAGGTCCAGGCCCTGTTCCGTGTGAGCCCCGTGACCCCCAGGCAGAGGTGGACGTTCAGATGCTACGGCTATGACAGGAGGAAACCGCAGGTGTGGTCGGAGCCCAGTGACGTCCTGGAGCTCCTGGTCTCAGGTGAGGAAGTCCTTTCTTTTCCCAATCATATCTGAGTCCTGAAGCAATTGACAGGGGCCGGACTACAGAGGATCCTAGGAGCAGTTTGGGTCAGAACATCTACAGAGCAGGAAACCTCAAAATGACAGTCAGGGAGACCCGCAGGGCAGGAGGGCAGGTACATGGCAAGACCCAGCCCTTCAGCCGGGCTCCTCCTCCCTCCAGGGCTGCCAGGAAGCCCTCCCTCCTGACCCAGCAGGGCCCTGTCCTGGACCCTGGACACAACCTGACCCTCCAGTGTCACTCTGACCTCTGCTATGACAGATTTGCTCTGTCCAAGGAGGGGACAGGTGACCTCCCCATCACCCTGGCCGGCAGCCCCAGGATGGGCTCTCCTAAGCCAACTTTTCCCTGGGCCCGGGCGCCCCACCTATAGGAGCCTCTACACAGAATCTCCTCCAAGTGTGGCCCCTACTGACCCCCTGGGCATCCTGATCACAGGTGAGGAGCCCAGGGCTCAGTCAGGGACCCAGATCCTGCCCAGGCCCTGCTGGGGAGCCCAGGAGGTGATGGCCAGGGTGAGGGTGGGTGTCAGGGAGGGAGAGAGACAGAGAGATGGGGAGGGCAGGAGGGGCAGAGTCAAAGGAAACAAACAGGCAGAGACCGAGGGTCCTCAGAGACAGCCCTGCTGCGGCCTCAGCTCAGAGCAAGCTGGGGCCGCCCTCACCAGCCTCCTTCTCTGCAGGACAGCTCCCGGGCACACCCTCCCTCTCGGTGCAGCCGGGACCCGCGGTGTCCGCAGGAAAGAGTGTGACCCTGCTGTGTCAGTCACAGAACCCAATGGACACTTTCTTTCTCTCCAAGGAGGGGGCATCTGATTCCCTGTTGTGTCTGAGATCAGAATCCCGAGCTCAGGAGTCCCAGGCAGAATTCTCCATGAGAGCTGTGAGCTCAGCCCTCGGGACCTACAGGTGCTGTGGCTCTCACAGACCCTTCCCCCACCTGTTGTCACAGCCCAGGGGACCCCCCCCGGAGCTCACAGTGTCAGGTGAGGTGGCTGTGACCCCAGCATGGCTGAGCTTGGGGTCCCTCTGACCACCTCCCTGGGCAGCCCTGAGCTCGGTGACTGGGGGGGTCTCTGGGAGAACGGGCCAGTACTGGACTCTTCCTAGGCATCTTGTTGCCACCCGTCCTTCCTGTGCAGAAAGTTCCGTGTGCAGAGGCCACCACACAGTGAGAGGAGAGGGCAGAGGTCCATCCTTGGGGTGGCCCAGCCCCGCCGCCCTTGAATCCTCATCCCTAGTATGAGCCCTGTCCCGGCCCTCAGTGCCCAGCCCCACAGCAGGAGTCTCGGGCTCTGTCCCAGTGTGCTGTGTCCAGGCTGCCTGGAGACTCCCAGCCCATCGCAGTCTGGTATCAATCTCAGCTGTGCTGGTGTCCAGGGACAGAGAAGCGGGAAAGGAACCATGATGCCCAGAGGCTGGGAATCCAGGCTGCATGGGTGGTTTCAAAGCTGAGAGAGATGTTGAAGTCCAACCTGGGAGAGGAGCTGCAGCTGAAGGGAGTCCAGCCCCTCACCTCCCCAGCCCTCCTGGGAGGCCCTGAGCATCAGCCCCTCACGCCAGCATCCAGAACCCCAGGGTGGTGAGTGAGGGCGCTGCTGGGAGGGTCTGGGCGGGGCGGGGCGGGGCTGTGGGGCGGGTGCAGCCTCCTCTGGAGACGCTGACTTGGACCAGCCGCTCCTGTGCGGGCCTCAGCTTCTCCAGGGGTAAAAGGGAGGCCTGGGCCCGACCTTCAAGTCCCTCTCCTGCTGAGCTTGCTGTGAGCCCTGGAGAGGCGGCCTCCCAGGGGAGCCTCCAGGATGTGACTCTGCAGCGGTCCTGTCCCGCTGTGCAGGGACGGTGACAGTGGGGAGGGTGCCCGGCAGAGCAGCAGCGTTCAGAT